CTAAAGTTGGAAAAAATCAAACATTCTATAAGAGGTTCATCTTACCAGTTTAATAAAGCTTGGGACCCTTTTAAGCAATATGTCACGGAACATGTTTTATTGTCAGACGTAGACTGAGTCTTTGATCCTGCATTTTATTTTATTTTACTTTTTTCCTCCCCTTCAATTACATTTTATTGTATTATATAGATTGTGCACTTCAGTTGTTTTGCTAAGCCACACTTTTGATTACTAATTTATTTTATTGTATTGTTGATTTTGTCTTTTGCTTTTTGTTTTCTTCTTTGTATTATTGTCCTAAAACTCATAAATAAAGCTTAAAAAAAAAAAAGGCGTTTCATGCTCGAAAACCCTCCAATGTGGCTGAATTACAACAATTCTGCATAGATGAGTGGACCAAAATTCCTCCACAGCGCTGTAACAGACTCATTGCAAGTTATCGCAAATGCTTGATTGCAGTTGTTGCTGCTAAGGGTGGCCCAACCAGTTATTAGGTTTAGGCGGCAAACACTTTTTCACACAGGGCCATGTAGTTTTGGAAAACCTTCATTTAAAACCTGCATGTTGTGTTCACTTGTGTTATCTTTTACTAATATTTAAATTTGTTTGATGATCTGAAACATTAAAGTGTGAAAAACATGCAAAAAAATAAGAAATCAGGAAGAGGGCCAACACTTTTTCACACCACTGTATACATATATATGTGTATGTGTATCGGGTGTCAAGTCAAGTCAAGTTTATTTGTACAGCGCTTTTCACCATACAAATCATTGCAAAGCAATGTACATCCGTCTAGTTGCAAATTGTAATCTACGAGATTCTGTGTACTGTCTTTTGGTCCAATAAGTAATATCTCTGTCTTATCCGAGTTTAATAAGAGAAGGTGTGCCTCACACGTCCTGAAAAGTGAAGCTGCGGGCTCTTTGATCACCCCCTAGTGGCTGGCTGCAGTACAGGTCATAAACCCCGCCCATAAACGAATGGGACTTGAGTCCAAATAAAAAAATTAATTACACTTCTAATACAATTTTCCGAAAGATGATTTTGGTCATTTAAGATAGTTGTTATCACGCTGACATATGTTCAGTTGTTAAGTTTTTGTGATAAAGTTGATTTTAGCTAGTAATTTGATGCTATAAAAACGGGGCGTGTCGTTATGGTTGATTGGGTCTGCAGGAGTTTGGGCGGGAGTTTGATACCGCGGCTCCACCTCACGACACTACTGCGCAGACTCTGGATCCAAACGAATCTCTACTGCGCACACTCTGGCTCCAAATGACGTAATTTACTCAAGATGGCAGCGGGAGATGCATTGGCTTCACTTTTTTATCCACTTTTTTCTTGTCGTAAAAATGGGTGTGGCCATTTGTAAATTCTATGGGTCTGGTTTCCGGTCTCATCTGCATCCAGCTCTTTTTAGCTGTACAAAACAGTTCGTTTTGCTACTTGATATTGAAAATTGGTCTTATCATATTATTTTAATGCATTATCTTATTTACACTACAGTGTGCACTACAAACACACTGGTTTGTAGTGTAAACAGTTTTACCGTTTACTGCACGTTGTTATTCTCCTCATTATTTACTTATAGCAGTTAATGATCCGGAAGTCTCACCCATAGGCTTACTTCCGCGTTGAAGAAAAAGGTGGATAGTGGAAGAAGGTGGAGACACGTCCATCTTTTTTTAACAGTCTATGGTGTATATATAAATATATATATATATATATATACATTTTCCACAATATACAATATATTATTGTATTTTTAAATATTAATTTTCACTGTGTTAAATGGAAGAGGTCAAGAGAATACTGTTCAATAAAAAACATTACTCAAGTTATTGAAGTTATTGTACTCAATGTGTTTGAGGCATTCAGTTGCCACAAAGTTTTACATTTTTAGTAAACTTAGTCATAATAAAACATTTAAGTAGACTTAATAAAAACTTTAATTAAACTAATCAAAAAGTACATGTAGCATAAATATTTAACTTCTGAAAACATGATTTTAAAGGGGTCATATGATGTTGCTAAAAATAACATTATTTTGTGTATTTGGTGTAATGAAATGTTTATGTGGTTTAAGGTTTAAAAAACACATTTTCCACATACTGTACATTATTGTTTCTCCTCTATGCCCCGCCTTTCTGAAACGTGTCGATTTTTACAAAGCTCATTGGTCTGAAAAGTGAGCTGTGCTCTGATTGGCCAGCTATCCAGTGCGTTGTGATTGACCGAATACATCAAGCATGTGACGGAAATGTTACGCCCCTTACCATACTGTAATGCCCTGTGTCCCGGAGCGACAAGACAAAAACATTAAAACCCATTATAAACGAGGCATTTGTTGTGTCCAGTGGGGACATAATTCCGGATTATAATGACTTATACTGTCTTTTTACGCATTGCGTTGCATCGCGCCGCGTAAACATAAAACCAAGTCTGTATTTGTGATCGGAGAAATGACAACAAGCGCTACTCTACACTGCTCAAAACTCGTGTTTGAATCATCAGTGGCAAATTCTTTAAATATAAAAACGTACTTACAGACTGTGAGTCAGAACAGCCGGCATTGTAGTCTACTCTCCCAGGATCAGGAAACAGTCCTCCATAAAATGCATTGCACACATCTGAATATTTGGGTTGAACTGTTCTGGAACAGTGTTGTAAATACAACTTAACCACTGATTTCTAGTCAGTCCTCTTTTGGAAGGCCAAACAAAGTATTTTCGCTTTTGCAATGAAACACACAGCGTCTTCACAACATGGCCACAATAAAGTTACTCCTTCTTTCTTTGCGTGACCATTTGGGCTGTGTTATGCAAATCTTCCCACACAGTGACGTAGACATGTGGGGGCGTGTTTAAATGAGGTGTTTTAGGAGGGCGTGGACCAGTCTTAACTTTTATAAAGAATAACTCTTTGGGTTTGAGACTTTAGTCTTTGCAACTTTAGGGATCTTATCTATTCACAATCAGCTTGTAACACTCCAAAGAGAAAGGAAAACTTGAAATCGCATCATATGACCCCTTTAAGTTTATTAACTCAAATTTATTAAAACCTCTTAAAAATTTTTTTGAGTTCTGTTAACTTATCAGGGTTTACAGTGTAGAAATAAACATAACATGAAACATTTTACTAACAATTTCTAAACATTTGGGTTTCAATGGATATCTGTTGCACAAATAGTAAAGGTGCAATTGTAAATTCATTAATGGACCAGCACGTACGTGTATGTTAACACTTTTTGGGGACTTAGAAAATTGTAATGTTTTGAGTCTCTGTGTTACATTAAAATCTGAAGCCCCCATGCTGTCACATAATTTAGTTAAAAATGTTTCACCAATCGCCCACATTTCTTCAGTCTTCTCATTAAAAACACTGACAAAAAGACAAAAACAAATGATGCTTAATTTATTCCAAAGGGAAATTACTGAATGATTACACATATTGTCTGTATCATCGTGCCAGATTTTTTGAGTCATTTGCCTGCTCAGACCTTGTACTATTTTCCTCTTTTACTGGTAACCAATAGACAGGGACATATATAGTAAATGCAAAGAAACTGTTGAAAGGGAAATGAAACCCATTCAAGCCTGATGAGAAAAAAAAATCATATTTTGGCTCCCGTAGTCTAAAACTTAATCTCGAACCTCTCAGTTTTAGAATTGTGAACTCATTAAGTATAGTGAAATTGCAAAGATTAACACCATGTAACACCATAATCAGGTTATAGGGTTATAATATAGATTACAATATACTTAACCAAGTATGCTGGAGAAAGGTTATTTTGTCTCATTCAGGTAAATAATATTGTTTTTAAAATTTCATAAACACTGACCAGAGAACATCACCCAAAAAATTAAGAAGCTTGGGTTGCAATTGAATCTCACCACGCTTGATTTAAAGGTGATAAAAAACTATAACATTCTCTCTTACTGGTGCCTAATTAAGGCCTCAATAAATAACTAGTGGTGTGATGGAAAGAGATACCACAGAAAAACACATCTGGAAATGAGTCTCAGCTCTCAGCTCATAATCTAGCATGCATAAGCACAGTGGTACTTGTCATCAGTTTTGGTTCCTCAGACTGAAATGAGCCATGAACCTGTCACTCATAGGCTAATAAAAACAACACAGGAAAGAAAACGGACTCCAGCCATTTCTTTGGAATGTATGAGCTAAACAATTCAGGGAAACTGTTACCAAAACTTCAATAAATTATTTATTGATTGAATTAAACCTTTGCTAACATTATTTTGATGATTGTAATTTAAATTAATATAGGCTGAAATGTCTGCATTCATTTTCTTTAAAGAAAAAGTACTAGTGCGTTAGTGAAATATTCTTGATAACTTTGAACATTTCTAACAAATTTCTATTTCCCAGCAGGCTTTATATAGGATAGGATAAGGAGAATAATTGTTGAAATCATGTTATTTTATGTTTTTAGTAGCAAAGACCTGTTAGTGTTTAATGCTGTTATGTTTGACATTTGAAGGAGTTTCTGTTTTTGTGGTTACCATTGTGCTGAAGAGCTTGTGGTTAGGTTGTGGGTGGCTACATATATGCGTAATATTGACCAGATGAACAATTATTGCACTAATGTTGCCGAAGAGTAAGCTATATTCAGCATGAAATGAGCCAGCTGTTAATTTGAACCGGAATAGATAAGATAAATTGGTTCCAGGGCCATCTCTCAAGTATTTTCAGATTAGTTGAGAAAAATAAAAAATAAAAAAAAAACTTTATTTTTTCCCTCGAGGAATCACCTTAAAATGTACATTTATTAAGCTCTAAGTCACAGTAGTTTCTTAGTTTAGCATATTTTCAGTTGTCAGAACTCAAAAAGATTGTTGAAGACTGTTGGTTTTTATTTTTTTTGTTGTTGAAACAAAACATTTTTAGAGCGTATACAAATAATTGGTAGAAGCTATAAAAAAAATTACTATTCCTAACATTTCAATCATATTAAAAACTTGTCAATACATAACATCCAGTTATAAGACAAACTTTGAATGTTTAATTTAGAATTTTCAACATGTTGGTGACAACCATGAAAACATCAGTTTGACACAGCAGCTTGCTCAATGAGCTGATGACAACAGCAATTCAATCTCTCCCAGTATGAAACGAGACAAATGTTGCACAACTGTAGAGAGCAGTCAATAGAAGTGATAGGAAAGACTGGAACTTGGACAAAAGCAAAACCTCTTGCATATCTTTGCAATAGTGCAATTATTGAAAAAACTCAGGAACTGTCAAATCTCTGCCTCTTTACGGAAGATATTAAGATACAGGAATAGACATGTCGTCATCATTACTATATTTATCAGCAAATCAAGATTATTAAACCGAGTATTCAAATAAGGCATGAAATACAAAGGTTTAACATGAGTTGATAGCTGAAGTAATTAAATCATGACAAACCAAAAGTAACTTTAGATAAGCTACATATGGACAAGCAGTTCAGTGCAGCTTTTGATACATAAAACAATATCACATTTATAACAAAACAGACATTTGGGAAAAACATATTCCTCACATTCACTTTGATGGTTGTTACTGTCTGTTTATAATAGTACAGCCGGCCAGCATTACTTACATAATGATGAAAATCTAATTTACTCAATTTTACATAAGTTAAAAGATGACTGCTGACAGCTGATGAGATGATGGTGACAGATGGAGGTCAAAGTCAAGGTGATATATTTTATTTTGATTAATTTCTGTCCAACTGAAAGAAGAACACAAGGGCTTTTGGGATTTCTGCAGTGGCATTACAGAGTAGACAACCTGAGAATACAATAGTTTGCTAAACTATTGTGCCTCTGTAAATGCTGTTACACATAGTTCTCTGTGCCTCCTCTGGGTGAAAAACCAAGGTCAATGTAACTGGTATAAAAATACAGCAAACGCTCACACAAAAGTCTCTAGAGACCTTCAAAAACAGATGCACACTCTTTCAAATATTCTTAAACAGTTTTTTGAGATCATAATCACGATTGAGGTGGTCAAGTTTCCACTTGGAGGTCAGGTATGGCTTTTAGTTCAGTGCTGGCTTTCAGGCCCTTTCTGTTGGTGGCAGAGGTGAGGACCAGAAGCGGCCCTTTGCAAAAATGCCAGTAACACTCACGTTGGATCTCTCGTCCCATTTCCTTCCTGTCACTTGTTTTTCCATTTGCTCAGTAGAAGCGTTTGCGGCGGTTCTCTTTATAGTGATTATATAGAAAGAGAACAACCACAACCACTACAACCAGCACAACGACGGAAACAATGAAGAGAAATAAGGTGGTGATGAAGCTCCTTCCTTCATCCTCCACGTGAACTGTGCAAAGAAAACATTTGTAAGATACAAACATTTGTACTTCTCTGTAAAATAGCTTATACTGAAATGTAATGAATGTATAATCTTATTGTTACTGTTACCATTCGGGTCCACTCGGTAGTCTACACTAGGCAACGTGATCTCCTGCTGGTCCTCTTCAGGACTGCGCTCCACTGTAAGCTCATACAGCTTGAAGGAGATCAGGTCATGGTTATCTAAAAACAAAGCCACACACACACACACACACAGGGGTGCACATAAGTGGTCCGCATGCCCGACCAAAATAAAAAATGTGCTGTGTAAATAACTTCTGACAGCACATTTGCGTACCGACATGGTTGACAGCTGTTAATGCAGAATTACCATTTTAGATCGACAAACTGTACATAAAAATATTTTACATTTTATTATTTAGCACCAAGTACACTAAAGCCGTGATTACCATCAGTCATTTTCAACATTTGGAGCCCTTGAACTGGTAAATGCAAAAAAAAAAAAAAAAAAATTATTTACTTTTATTATTTAGCACTGTCTTTTATTTCTCATTTCAAATAGCCTCTCCAGACAATTTTTTTTGTGAATGCAGACAGATATTATATTGCTCTCAAAATTGTTTAGTATGCCTTATGAAATTGGGCGAACTGATTGAAATCTTATTGACCAAATACTTATTTTCCACCATAATTTGCAAATAAATTCTTTAAAAATCCTACAATGTGATTTTCTGGATTTTTTTTTCTCATTTTGTCTCTCATAGTTGAGGTATATCTATGATGAAAATTACAGGCCTCTCTTATCTTTTTAAGTGGGAGAACTTGCACAATTGGTGGTTGACTAAATACTTTTTTCCCCCACTGTACAAATAGATATTATAAATTGGTTCATGTTTTTTAGTTAGTGTAACGTGAATTCTATGGAAATTTTAGGATTGGCCCAAAATGACTAGAATATAAAATGCAGTTTGCATTGAATCTGAATATCTGCTCGATTAAAATGAAGTGAACGGAACGCTTTACTGGTCCAAACCTGATAAATCTCCAGTAGCCGATGAGATGCCGAAATAGTAACCTTGTGGCAGCCTCACTCCAGGTATATCCAGACAGTCCTTCCACTCTTGCTTCCCCTCGATATCCATCATCACCTGAAAGATAGAACAGCAAATGAAGGTGCATTCAGAACTGAAGGTTGCTCTCCAACATCTGTCTAAACAATACTTCCTTAATCTCGAAGTAAATTTAACCTCTCCCTCGTCTTGACTATCAGCATCGCAGATCGAAAGACTTAATTGGTGCAGCAGTGTATATATGTATGTATTTGTCTTTGGCAAAAAATTTAAATAAAAACAATGTAAAGATGTTTCTTACTGTGAGTCTGTTCTTCATGTATCTGATCAAGAGGAATGTGTCATATTCAACATTGCGAACGTGAGCAGCGCAGCCACCGAGATCAGTAAACCGTCCGTCACGGTCGTGATCATATGCAACACTCCCATTTCCGACCATTGCAGAGATAAAAGGAAATGTTCTCTGAATGAGAGACAGAAATTAAACTGATTAGATTATTATTATTTTTTCACAGGTTAAAGTTGTTTAAGCTAACATGACATATGATGACGAGGACATGACATTTATTGTAATCTTGTTTATTGTCTTGTTCGTCTAATGGTTAGCGGCAATATACCTCATGCTGCTTGTCATCATTGGGATAAGTGTCTACAAAAACACTCAGACCTGTAAAAAAGTTTGTGTTTCCAAATACTTGACCTAGAGGAAAGCACAAAGACCAAAAACCCTCCATCATAGTCGTATCACAGAGAATCAATATTTTGAAGATTTGCAATATTGATGATCTCTTACCATTTTGCATTCGCTCTTTGGTCAGCCATATTGCAAGGCCGTCTCCATTCAGGTTCTTCTTGCCCTCACCATGGATCTTAAATTGTACTCGCAGCTCCCAGTCCCTGATGTAACAGGGCTACACACACACACACACACTCATTAACAAGCATGACTATTAAACATTATCTCAATAACCTCTTTGTCTAACAGGTTGCTATTTAATAGCTTTGTCTAACAGGTGGTGTTTCAGGTTCTCTCGTCATTTAAACTCACAATACGACTCCATACAGCTCCTTGTCTGCTCTGCAGGTCTGGTGTCAGCCGTATGTGTTCAGGCATGATCATGGTGTTGCCCATGAACTCCCAGTGTGAGGAGCTGGAGGAGCCCAGTCCTGTGTATACACACACACACACACACACACACACACACACACACACGTACGTCCATTTGTGTGTTGGATATTTAATTTTTGCTTCTAGATAACCATGACCTGATCTCCCTCAAGCTATATTGGTAAACGCAATGGATAGTTCATGATAAAAGTTGCTTTAAATACAACGAGTTTGATGTTTAATAAAGCATATGAACCGGAATATCTATAACTCCTGTACTTCCGCCCTGTGGACTTGTGACTAAATCACTGCAGTTGCGGAATAAAACTGCCACTCTTACGAGAGAAAGAAAAGGGCAACCAACAGTTACAAAAGAAATAAAGGACACAGTGATCGTCCTGACAATAAACCTGTGGTCGTATTTAAGTATTTTCTCTTTAACTAACGTTAGTTGACTTTGCTGAAACAGGTGTCACTTTTGGCCGAGTAGGAATGGACGCTTACCTTGGTATGGCTTACTCAGCGAATACTCTCGCTTGAGAAATTCAGAAGTATTATCTTCATATGTGTTTTCTCCAGAACTAATACTCGCAAAGGCGAGTATTAAAACTAATAACGCAGATACTCTAATTTTGTTTGCCGGACTGTACGGTAAACGCATTACTGTTGTGTAAATAATGCCGTTCAATTTCATCACGATGGTCGCCATTTTTCCTCGCTCACTTCAAAATGCCCGCCCCTTATCGCTATTCGTCTATTTTCAGTCGTGCACTGCAATAAGTGGTTTACAATATTGCCAATCATTTTTTCGACCAATCACTGTTTTCCATACTTTACGTTTAGTGAGTATGTGTGCCAGTAAAACAAGTGCATCCTGAGGAAAAAAATGAAGATAAAAGGGTATTTAAAATGTTATTTTAAACCTAGCAGTTCTAAATCTAAACTCAGATCCAAAAGATTATATTTAATTTACCTATCTAAACTATTATGCAAATCGTCATACCCCTAGGCTCTGTCATTATAGGTCAAATTGATTGTTTAGCAGATAAGCAAATATTTGTCATTCAAATAAGCTGAACATTTTAAGCTCACACTTTTTACTTTAAAAAGTGCTCCACACTGGCGTATATTACTGCCATTTTGGATTTATTGTGTTGATTTCTTTTTATAGCTATTACACAAATGTGATGATATTATGATACATTAAGAGGGTTTTTGACCTAGTTTTAAAATCGGCTTATTGTATACATTATATATATATATATATATATATATATATATGTGTGTGTGTGTGTGTGTGTGTGTGTGAGTGTGTGCGTGTTCTTGTGGAGGAATTTCAGTGTGAACAGGCAATGTCCCTTTATTTTAGTTAATAAAAATAACTATCTATCTTGTAGAGAGGTGTTTGACATTTCATACTGCCTGCAGTTTAATCGACTCTTCACTAGAGGTCACTTGTGGACTGGGATTGTCCTCACTTCTTGAATTTTGAGTTACAGAATTTTGTTTAATTCACCTTTGGTTTTTAGTTATGCACTCTGGACACAACTCCTCACTACTTAAGTGGATTTCTTAAATGCAAATCCTTTCGGTGTCACAGATCTACACAGATTTAAAACAGCAATGCGTAACTTAAAGGAGGGAAGCGGGTTCAAAGTACTAGTGGCAGCATGTGCAGAGCTACAGCCAAAGTTAATAGAACTACATTTTAGCCCAGCAGTTCCTGTGACCTTCAGCTGTTTCAGAATATGGTGTCTGGCCAATTTTAGTGGGTGTTCATGAAGTTATTAGGTTTCCTTGTTGAGTTCAGCCTGTAACTGTATACAGTGGCAGGTCACAGTGCACTAGCAGACAGCATGCTGGACTAAAGTGTGGTTTTGAGTTTGATGGGCTCTTTAGACTATAATCAGAGGGAAACATGTTCACCCCTAAGCTGTCATACCTAATCAGGCAAGACAAAGAATACATTTATACCAGCTCAGCTTACTTCACACACGCCCCCTCTGCTTTTCCCACACACTCTGTTTTCCTCTATCAGGTTTATGAAGCCATGATTACCAACACTGTAATGAGTACAACCCAGTTATGCAAGTAAAATTATGGGAAGACTCTAAGATCTCGTTCTATCAGATATCATCAGCAGTCTGTAAAAATAAATAAATAAAACCAAGCAATTCTATGAATCAACATAAGTTATTTAAAGGGGGTTATTTTATTAATATATTTTGTTTTACAATAAAATTTTTTTTAAATAAAATAATTTATAATATAAAAATATATAATTTAGACATTATATTAGAAAGCTCAGGTAGTTTGAATACATTTCTTTAACAATTGGCCTTAGCAATATTCGGATGTTAAGAACTTTAAATTTAAATTCAAGAACAACCCACTTTGGCCGGCAGGGTAAAATGTAAACTGACCAACCACAGGTTTTTTTTTATGTGATGATTAGGGGCAGCTAGATCTAAAATCAGTGATACTGATATATGGTAGTGTGCAACAAATGTTTCATTTAAATAATGACACTGTGAATGATTTACAAACAACCCCAAAGATAAAGTGTAGAAAATATTTTGAATTAGTCAGGATGTCTGTAGATTCTAACACAAAATATAAAAACAAAAGTGGACTATGCTGAGTATATCCCAAGGATATATATTACTCTGTGCATCAAACAAAACTTAAAATCAATAACACATTTTTAAAAAGATTTGAAGCTGAACCTTTCTTTGTAATCTTTAAATCTTTGCTTTTCTGATCCTTGTATTTCTCTTTATATGTTAACCAGTCCATGATTAACATATATTCTCTTTGCCAGCACATTTCATTCAACAATATAGAAGATAAGGAGGTGTAAAGCCATGGATTATGCACATTGGGACCAGATAATTCCCTAAAGTCATAATGAGTGTTTTTTTGAGCGAAGATATCCCAATTCAGAGTATGGTCACATTCTTGCTTACTGTATACACTGGACAGACAAAATGGCACTGTAATCAACAAATTCAGTCAGTCTAGTCAAGACTTCTTTCATCTTTCTTGTTTCTACATACAGTTATATTGATTTTGACACATTTATGTGATGTTTTCCTAAAAGAGAAGCGATACAATTTGTAATGCAGATATGGGTTGAGTAAAGTAAAGGTTACTTACTTTTGCTAGTAAATAAATGTTCACACAAATGTTTAACCCTTAAAAACAAAAAAAAAACATTTATTTGTCGCTCAGTAAGTAGACCATTGCCTGCAGCTGCTTCACTGGCCCTCATTCAGTGTAATCCATATTTGTGAGGTCAATATCACCTGCTGTTTTTATACTCCATCACCAATTACTCAAGGTCCATAATCTTGAATTTGAAACAGTCACTGTCATTCTGTTACACTGTGGAGCTTCTGTCATGAAAACAAATTCCTCGTATGTGTAAACATACCTGGCAATAAAACTCATTCTGATTCTGATTCTGATGATTTCACATCAGGCTGCACCTGTTCATTCAGCACTGGGTTCGTTGAACACGTTATAACCAAACGGAATATTTTATTTAGGATTGTAAAGCTAACAAGGATATCTGCGTTGTATAAATGGTAAGTCTTTTGGATATATTTTTCTAAAGTAGGCTACTCTGAGATATGGTCCACCTGTGAATAATTTTATCATATATAACTAGCCTTAATCCTCTTTCTAACGGGTGTCACAGGAATATCTGCAGTTTGTATATCTCAGCGCAGACGGCAGACATTAAGAACACCTTCAGACATAAATTTTGACGCTGTTTGAATCAGAAGCCGTAATTACAGGCAGGAAAGGAATCTGCTTGAGGAATGATGGGCCTCTTTGTGCTGAAGTGTCCTCAGTGCGCCTCTTCTTCCATTGAGGTGTTTGTGCTGACAAAAGAAAACGGAAGAGAAAGAGTACATTTCCTTAATTAAATAGCATCGCTCCAAACCCATCCTCATCAGAATGTCTCTCTCAATCAATAATTCACACCAATGGTGATTCCTTAAGTGTCTGTTAGACTGTGAAAGGGTGTTTTATTATTTATTTAATTTTGGAATTTTAACAGCGCAAATAATTCATTGTTATTGCTCTTTTTTCTATATAAATAATTCTAAAATAATATTTAGTTTTAATGAATATTTTCATACAATTATATATAATTATATTATATATTATAATTATATATAATTATATCAATCAGTGTACGTATATAACTCTATTTGGTTAATTTGATAACCTGCTGTTCAGCTAAGGAATATTAGTATAATATCTCACCATTATTCCCTGAATCATCAGGCCTTTATTCACTGCAGATCTGATGTCTTCTCCCAGAGGAAGCCTCCACTCGCCCATTATATCTGTCTGCCGGTTGACTTTGATCAATATGCCTCATTAACATTAAAGCAAGCCTGTTGTCTGCTCATTTTATTTATTTATTTTATTCCATCATACCAATGAATGTTGTGCTGACTGTCCTATAGCTGTCTGGCTTTTTGGCTTTTTTTCAGGGAAGAAACTTGTTTAAAATAAGACTTTTTAATGTTTTTGAAATATCATTACATTTTAAAATAACAGTTTTGTATTTATTCCTGTGATGGCAAAGCTGACTTTTCAACAGTCATTGTTCCAGTCTTCAGTTTCACATGAACCTTCAGAAATCATTCTAATATGCTGATTTGGTGCTCAAGAAAAAATATTATTATCAGTGTTGAAAGCAGTTGTGTTGATTAATATTTTTTTGTGGAAACCACGATACATTTTTTTTAGGATTCTTTGATGAATAGAAAGCTTAAAAGTGCAGCATTTATTTGAAATAGAAATCTCTTATATTAATTTGTCTTTGCTTTTATTTTTGATGCATAATTTGACAGTCACGATTCCAAGAATGCAATTGTTTTTAACAAAAAAATATGTTTTCAGTGTTCGTAAAAATGATACATCACATGTATGTTAATTTTAGAGCCTTACAAATAGTTTCGACAAATTGTTATGGACAGCCACTTCAAAGAGAAGACAGTTTCACTCTCAGAGTCAACAATGGGTCTAATGAAGAAAAGCCACTACTGCAAAGGGACTGAAACTAGAATAAAAGGGATGTTGGGAGGCAATTGTAGGTTTGATGACAGATTCACAGGCAGACATGATAAATTCCAAACATTTCTCAAGCTCTTAGATCTGTGACTGACTGTGGTCTGAGTTAGATGCATGTGCATGTGGTTCTGAATGCCAGAATACAGAAGATACACAAACACACTCATGCATGCAGTGATCATGCTCACAGATGTCTTCAGCACAAGCCAAATATGTGTTTTTATCAATAGTCCCATAGCATCAGTAAATTCAGTTTGTGTAAAATACTGTGAAGAGTTAAAAATACTTCTTTATAGTTTAGGTTCAATATTTAAATAATGCACAACCAAAATTACAAGCAAACACCAAAACATTAATAAATGGTATAAGACTAATTATTCCTTTGTGTTTGAAGAGCTGGGCACAATTATATACTAGCTGACCTGACTCTCACAGATACACTATTAGTCAATGCTCAGCCCCGACTGGTGGAGGGCTGCAGTGATGGTTGACTTTCTACAACTTTCTCCCATCTCCCGACTGCATCTCTGGAGCTCAGCCAGGGTTTTGGGTTCTTCTTTACCTCTCTCACCAAGGCTCTTCTCCCCCGATAGCTCAGTTTGGCCGGACGGCCAGCTCTAGGAAGGGTTCTGGTCGTCC